AAAATAACTCCTCGGTCGAGAAAGGTAAAGGTATTATTGCAGGCGATGAAGATGAAATTCAAGAACGTCAGGAGACAAGCAAATCGCAAAAGTCAACTGGTGGATCTGGCGTTCTGATAGAGTCAACTAATGAAACCAGCAAGAATTCACCAAAACCACCGAAGGAGTCGACTGCTCATACAGTTCGCCCAAATGAATGGAGAAGTGAACTTGAATATCCTAAAAAATTCATTATAGGAGATCCAAATGATGGAACGAAAACCAGGGGAGCTCTCAAGAAGAAAGCAAACATATCACTGATCTCTCAGATTGAGCCAAAAAAAATAGAGGAAGCTCTTAAAGACTCAAGCTGGATGCAAGTGATGCAGGAAGAGTTATATCAATTCGACAAAAATCAAGTATGGAAATTGATACCCAAACCTAAAAACGCTCCCGTGATAGGAACGAAGTGGTTCTTCAGAAATAAGCTCAATGGGGATGGAAAGGTTGTAAGAAACAAAGCCATATTAGTTGCTCAAGGATATTCACAATAAGAAGGAGTCGACTATGACGAAACCTTTGCCCCAATAGCTCGACTTGAATCTATACGAATTCTTTTGGCGTATGCATCCTTTAAAGGATTCAAGTTATTTTAGATGGATGTTAAAAGTGCCTTTTTAAATGGTTTCATTGAAGAGGAAGTATATGTGAAGCAACCCCCTGGGTTTGTAGACTCAAAGTTTCCATATCATGTGTATAAGCTAACCAAAGCACTGTATAGGCTGAAGCAAGCTCCACGAGCATAGTACGAAAGATTAAGTTCTTTTCTTATTGATCATGGGTTTACAAGAGGTAAAGTAGATACTACTTTGTTTATTAAAATATCATCAGAAGGTAATCTCATTATTCAAATTTATGTTGATGATATTATATTTTGTAGTACTAATCCTCTTAGGTGCAAGGAATTTCCAAATCTTATGCAAAGCGAGTTCGAAATGAGCATGATGGGAGAACTGACGTTCTTCTCCGGTCTCCAAATTCAACAATCTGAAGAAGGAACATTCTTATGTCAGACCAAATACACAATGTAGTTGATCCAAAAATTCAGTATGAGCAATGACAAACCTATTGGCACTCCAATGAGTCCCTCAACAAGTCTCGAAAAAGATGAACAGGGAAAATCTGTTGATGAAACTAAGTATCGTGGAATGATTGGTTCTCTTCTTTATCTAACTACTAGTCGACCAGATATTATGTTCAGCGTTTGTAAATGTGCCAAGTTTCAGTCAGCTCCCAAGGAGTCTCACCTGATTGCGGTAAAAAGAATTATTCGCTATCTCATTGGAGCAGTCTCTCGCGGATTATGGTATCCTCGTTCTAATACATTTAAGTTAGAAGGTTTTTTAGATGCTGATCTTGCATGTGATAAGGAATATAGAAAAAGCACAAGTGGAACATAGTCAATTGCTTGGTAAAGCTTTGATATCTTGGAACAGTAAAAAACAAGGATTAGTTGCACTATCCATGACTGAAGCTGAATACATTGCTATTGGATAATGTTGTGCACAACTACTGTGGATGTCTCATCAACTTGGTGACTATGAATTATTTTTTAAGCCTATTCAAATTTTCTGTGATATTTCTAGTGCTATATGTCTTTCAAAAAATCTTGTGCATCATTCTAGAGAAAAGAATATAGATATCAAGCATCATTTTATTAGAGATCATGTTCTTAAAGGAAACATAGAAATATCTTTTGTTGGAACAATCGATCAATTAGTAGACATTTTTACTAAGCCCTTATTAGAGGATATGTTTTGTGCTTTAAGAGAATTACTTGCATTAATAATAAATTTTAGGACCTATGTGTAATCAGATTAATTTTGTAGGCCTAATATTTTGTTTCTTACTTTTTCATTAATTACGCCTCCGTTTTCCCTCTCTTTCTTCTTCTTTCACATCAGTTGCAGCGTTCAAAGATGGAAAGCCAATCATCACGTCCATTCAACTGACGCCTTTTCCTTTTCTGTACTCAACCATCAGAAGGTTCATAATCTCTTCTTTTAAGGCAGAGATATCTATTGAATCCCCTTCGTCTCCATCATCTAGAAAGCCTTTCTCAGAAGAACTGCCCAAACCAAAATCCTTCAATGGCTAAACACTCTAAAACCCCTTCTGCTTCCATCAGAAAAAGTACCCGCTCCAAAGCAAAACCCCCTCCTATGCCCCAAGAACCAGTAGACCTAGGGTCCCACCATTCTGAAGGTTTCGCTTCTTCGCAGGATGATTTGTCCGATCATTCTCGAATCTTAGGAGAAAAAGCTTTAGGTAAACAACCTATGGAAGACCCCCCTGTTTCCTCCACTCCAAAGAAATCCAAAATAGATCTTTCTAGCTCCCTAGAATCTGACCTAAATTTTCTAGGGTTCTCCAAACATGGATCTTTTCATTGCTTTGAAAGACAAGCCCATTGCTCATGGAAGGGTAGTCGGCCTTGATGACATGGAAGCCCTAAAGTGTAAGGTAAAAGAGCTTTTCGTTTATCAAGGGTGGTCAAAGTTCCTCTGTTCCTCCGCCTAAAGTCTATGAACCCCTGGTAAAGATGTTTTATGCTAATCTTCGCTCTAGTAAACCTGATAAGTTGGAATCTTTGGCGTTACGAAAGTGCATTGTTCTTGATTGTGCCATGTTTGATTCACTTTTTCAGTGTAAGTGTTCTGGTTTCTCCATGCTTTTCAAAAATACCTGGCCCGATGATTTTGAAATTTCCTTTGAACAAGCTAAACGATGTATTGCTGAGTGTTCTTCTAAATCCCTCCCCAACTAGTTAGGCCCCAGTGATGTTAGTTTTGAAACTCGAGTCCTTGCTCATATCGTAGCAACTACTCTGCTTCCTCGCACTGGTTCCTTGTCCACCTTCTCTCAAAGAGATACCTTTTTGGTCTATTGACTTGTGACCAAACTCAAAACCAAGTTATCCTCATGGGTCATCACCTTTATGATTGAAAGTGCAGAAGATCCCACTAGTCTACCCTATGGTATGGCCATCTCTCATATCCTGGAAGCTCACCAAATTTCCCTATATGCATATCCTTTTATCACTGTTTCGAAATCTTACAATTCTAGAGCTTTTGCAAGTATGGGGTATGTGAGTGTGAAAGGGTCATGGGTTAAGAAGCACAAAGGCGAAGTCAAGCATGCTCCAATAAATTCCAAACCTAAACCTTCTGCCTCTCATCCTAGCCCTAGTGATCCTAACCTTGCTGAAAAGCTTCATGCCATTGACAACCAACTCTCTGCAATTAAAGATCTACTTACAACCACTTAGTCCACCGCTGGTGACATTCATTCCATTTCCAAAGAAACAGGGTTTGATGTGTCCAAGATAAGAGTTGTTGTTCTCAGAGTAAGGGAGAACGCTGTCAAAACATTCAAGGAGGTTCATGACAGGTTTGATGGAATGAGCATTTCAACCAATGCCAGCTTTGACCAACTGAAGGAGGCCATCTGCAATACTCTTACCTACTTTCAGTGTCGTTAATATCAATGTTTAAGACATTTTTTTTGTTGTGCTATTTTTGGACTGTTAAATCAGTCGTTGGACAATTTCTTTTGTCTTGTCCTGGTTGTTTTTATTTGCTATAACTCTGCTGCATATAATGGTATAGACCTTGGTTTAGTTCGTAATTTTCTCTACCGATTCCCTCTTTGATGATGCCAAAAGGGGGAGACTGTATTTGCACAGTATATGTATATGTATTTGCACAAGTACACAAAGTTTAGTCGACTAAAGGGTAAGTTAGATCTTGTGTATCATGAGTCGACTACAACCTTAGACCAGCATACCTTGAGGGGGATTGCAATAGCAACTATAATCATGGACCATTCAACTGCAAACATTGAGGGAGAGTAAAATACAAGGAAGTCAACTGTTGTTTATACATATATATTATTTTGTCATCATTAAAAAGGGGAAGATTGTTAGATCTGATTATTGATGCAAGTAATATATATCTGTTCTATGTGCAGGAACTTATGGACAATATTCAAAGACTGAAGGAATCAATCAGAGATGATTAAGGAATCAATGGTTAGCTATGAGATGGAAGCAATCAATCAAGGAAATTAAGGAAAGCAATCTGGGATTAGCAAAGATCAAGCAATCAATGGAGAGCTACGAGATGGAAGGAATCAAGGAAGGCAATCCGGAATTAGAGAAATAATCAAAGCCAAGACGAAATCAATCATGCCTATACTTAAGGAATCAAATAAATCGAGCGTATCCAAATCTGGAAGGTGCAAGATCCCGGGAAGCATATATGGAAAATAATTAATGTCTCTTGTAAACATAGCCGTTGCTGTATAACCTTATTCTAGGAAAGAATCAATTTCTCGCCAAGGATCAAATCTCTTCGGTTGGCAAATCTTTCCAAAAATCAAACCTCTCTCAAAGTATTTAAACTTGTATCAGTACCCTAGAGCCATATACTTTGATCGAACCAAATACCTCTCTTTATTCTACTACAAACAAATATTGTAGCTCTACTAGATCTGTTGTGTAACAAGTTAGAGAAGAAAGAGAAAACAACACTGGTGAAGCATTGTATCAAAATAAACGAGTGAAATAGGAACTAAGCGATCGGTGTAGATTTGATCGAACCAATCTCACTTGCAACCCAAGGGAACTGGAATAGGATTCACATTGAATCTGAACCAGTATAAAAACTCCGGTGTCTTTAATTCCTGCATTTAATTTCTGCATCTTAAATTCTATGTTTACTAGTATCAAGTTCTTATATCCAGTCGACTAATCGTAAAACTAGTCAACTGACAGCTATTAAGTTTAAAAATAAACAATTCACCCCCATGTACTTTTACCTATGAGTAAGAACAAGTGTATATAAATATAATTTGAAAGAAAACATATTCAAGAATACAAAGTTCCTCCAAGATCCATTTATTTAATTGTTACACTTGTTGTCAACAGTATAACTATAAAGTTTCAAAGTCTAAAATCGTACCTGATCAGTTGTAGAACATAGTCCCAGTATTTTGTAGAAGGCCGCTTCAAGGAATCCTCCACAGTAGTTGAAGAGAGTTTCTCTTTTCTGATATTAGAAATGAAAAAACACGTTTGACATGCACACTAGGTAATTCACACATATCATTAGTGAGATGAAGAATCTGTGAGGCATATGCAATATATATGGTGTTATGAAAATATATTGTATGACATGACATACCGATAATTTTATTGCTTGTCCTTTCTCTCTTTCTCCTTCACTTTCTTTTCCTCTTTCCATTATTGTAACTCAGTACTGTCAAACCAAGTGCTTCTCCGATCCTTCCCTTTCCTTTCAAGATCTAATGGAAGAATACAAAAAGTCAATGAAGGAAACAAATTTAATTTGAGCCATATCATATTTTATACCATAAAACATAAGTGGATGGGCTACAAGACTATAGAAATATAATAGGAGTAGCAAATACCCATTTATATGAACAGTAATTTTGGTCTCTGGCTAACACCAGAAATGTTAGTCTTAATCACACGTAAAAATGCTATCACAAACATAAGAAAGTACAAGAAAAAAAAATATTCAACAAAACATTACCTATCATCACATAATATATATATATTCTTCCCTAGTCCTGCTTATTTACCATTACAACCTATGTTGCTCGAACTCTCCGAAAATGTGGCCGGATACGTGTCGGATCCTCCAAAAGTAGTGTATTTTTGAAGGATCCGACACGGGTGCGGCTACATTTTGGAGAGTCCGCGCAACATAGATTACAACAGTTTTTCCTATTTGTGCCTACTACCAAGGCAATAATTAGGGGACATATATAGAAAACTAGAACATATAAAATAAGAGATCAATCACATAATCTTACCTTTCGACTTCAAGTAATTCGACAGAAGAACTTAAAATGCCACCCACAGATCATTGACTTCTGAAGTTTTTTTTAATACACATTATCATCTTAGTCTTCTTAATAGATTATGCAAATTATTTGCACGTCTATTGGATCTTGACATTTGACCTGTAACCTAACATACTCTACTCGTATATAGATATATATAGTAAGTATACATTAGTGGGGTGTCAGCACCAGGCTGTTTTCTTGAATCAACCATGAAAAGCCACCAACAGAAAAAAAAAAAAAAGAAACAAATAGCTAGATCAAGATTGACAATTCCAAGATAATATTAAAATATAATTCATCGACTTCTGATTTTTTTAATGCCCATTATCATCTTAATCTTCTTAATTAATCTATTGTGAAAATTATTTGCACGTCTCTTGTCCTGACATATGACCTGTAATCTGATATACTCTACTCGTCTTCATAACTACACCAATAATCTAATTATTTTCTAAGCCAATTAGAAGCAAAGTTGGATGCGATCTAACCAATTTTATACAAGTACAACAAAAAATTGTTGGAATAGTTAATGATTTATAGAGGATAGAAGGAAGTATTCATTTAATTAAAGTGACTATATTTTTGAAGAGGTGTCTCTATTCCTAAATACATGTCTTTGCAACCAAAAAGGGATACACGTTCAGAACAAAACAATAAAATAGTCTGATTCTTTTCTCCTTCTCCTCAAAAAACACACAACTACATTCTTAAGAAAATTTCAGGTTATTGCTGGAACTTGGATTTCGTTTGGCTTTTGTAATATCCCGGAGGTGATTACGATTGAGATGAAAAGACATCGTGGGAACTACTTAAAACATGTACACCAGTGCTTCTAATTAAATGCCTAAAATTCTCGAGTATCTGTTTGATCGATCCAGTGATACATCATATCACTTGAAGACATTAGATTGATGCCAAAATAAAAAAGCAATTGCTCGAGAAACTGGATCGACAAGAAATCGGGTTCTACATGGGGGAGAATGTGGTCTATTAAAGCTTGGTTGACTAAGTGTGAATTTAGTCGACTAGGTTTCGCACAACAAACAGATAAAGTAAAGATGAACCAAACGAATTGAAAGATAAACAAGACACAACAGTTCCCGAAATTATCAAAACCCGAGCCCCGGGCCTACTTCTCGAAACTCAGAAATTTTTACATCATTAGATTCCTTATCTCCCTACGAGTTCATACCTATCAAAAGTTCTCAAATCCGACCCCAAATGGTCCTTCAAATCCCAAATCAAAATCCAATTTCTCAAGCCCTAGTTCTTCAAATTTTAGGCTTGGTTTCCATGAATTTCTAGGTGGATTTCACAATAGAAACGAGTTTTAAGTTCAAAAATCTTACCTCCAATCGATTCCCCTTGAATCCCTCTTTAATCTCCACCAAGAAGCTCTCAAAATGATCAACCATGGAGGAAAAATGACCCAAAATCGCGGATGAAATAACTTAAAAGCTTTCTGCCCAGTTCTGACTTTCTTCATCGCGATCGCGGCACAAGCCTCGCGATCGCGAAGAGCAAATATTGAAGACCTCACAAATACACTTACGCGAACGCGACCAACATCCTGCGAACGCGATGATCAAATGAAATAACCTTACGCGAACGCGATGCACAAATCACCTTGGACCCCATCTGACTCACTTCCTCTACGCGATCGCGTACCCTCATTCGCGAACGCGATACTCTGATCCACAGCCCCCCGCGGACGCGAACCTCTCTCGCGATCGCGAAGGCTAAAACCTGGCCTTCCTCCCTTCCTTCTTCGCGAACGCGAGCCTACTCACGCGAACGCGAAGAGATAAACTCTGCAACACCTGAACTCCAAAATCTGTAACTTTAAAATACCAAAAATGGTCCAATTGACCATCCGAAACTCACCCGAGGCCCCTGAGACCTCAACCAAAGTCACCAACACATCCTAAAACCTCATTCAAACTTGTTCAGATCATTAAAACACCTCAAATAACATCAAATTACCCAAAACTCATCGAATTGAAGCCTAAGTTTTTTCGAAAATTTCCGAAACACGCTTTTGATAAAAAATCCAACCAAACCACGTCCGAATGACCTGAAATTTTGCACACACATCCCAAATGATGTAACGAAGCTACAGCAACACTCAGAATTCCATTCCGACCCCCGGATCAAAATCTCACCTATCAACCGAAAAACGCCGAAATCTTAATTTCGCCAATTCAAGCCTAAACCTTCCACGAACCTCCAAATTGCATTCCGATCACGCTCCTATGTCCCAAATCACCTAACGGAGCTAACCAAATCATAAAAGTTCCTATCCGAGATCATATACAATCAAGTCAAATCTTGGTCAAACCTTCCAAATTTAAAGCTTTCAAGACTGTTCTTTCAAATTCATTCCGATTTCCGTGAAAACCAAAACCAACGATTTATATCAGTCATAAAACATCACACGGGGCAAGTCATGCCCGAGAACTGGCGATCAAAGTGCAGAAGCTCAAAACGACCGGTTGGGTCGTTACAGGGACCGCGGGTGTGAAAAGCTTGGGTCAGAAAGTATAAAAGATTTCCTTTGTGATTTTTGAGTTATTCTTCACCATTTTCATGCGGGTTTGACCTTGAGGGAGCTATTTGAAGAATGATTTCAAGGGGATTTTATAGAGATAAGGTTTTTGGACCTAAACTCATTTCTATGGTGTTATTTCACTGATTTGGCTTGGAATTAATGGAAATTAAGGGTTAAAAATTGGGAAACAAGGGCTTGAGTTTGGAGACCTTTGAGTAAGGGTTTGAGGGGTCATTTGTGGTCGGATTTTAGTACTTTTGATATGTATAAACTCATGGGAAGATAAGGAGTTTATTGATGTAATTTTTATCGAATTCCGAGACGTGGTCCCGGGGGTCGGGTTTGGCCAATTTCGGGATTTGTGTTGTAATTTGGTTACTTTCGAGTGGGCTTTGTTCCCTTAGCATATTTTGATGGTTATGTACTGGTTTTGGTTAGAGTTGGAGCATCTAGAGGCCGAGTCGGGAGGCAGAGGCATCGCAGCCTAGAGTTTGGACCGGATTGAGGTAAGTAATGATTGTAAATGTTGTCCTGAGGGTATGAAACCCCAGATTTCACATCATTGCGCTATTTCGAGGTGACGCACACGCTAGATGACGATTGTGGGGTCGTGCACCTTTAGGGGATTGTGACTTAGTCCATCCCGTATGACTGTTTTACCGCGTATTTGATTGAAAATTGTTTACTATCATCATGTTTTGGGTTGAATGGTATATTTGGGCCTCGTGCCAACTGTTTGGACCCTTAGGGGTTTTTTATTGCTATTTTCCTCACTGTTTTGATTTTTTATCTGTACTCAGTCTTGCTGTATTTTACTATTTTTATAACTCGGCCATGCTTACTCTATTTTAACATCTTAAATGATATTTTGGGCTGAGCATCATACTTTACTGTGTCCGAGTGGCTTTTAGAGGTTTCTGACTTAGTAGGGCTGAGGGCCTGTGTTGTGAGGATTTATATTGGATCGGGCTGCACGCCATAGTAGTATTGTACTGATTTATGATTTTGAGTCTGAGGGGCTGAGTTGTTATGCCACGAGGTGGCTTGATAGAAAGCCGAGAGCCTATTGTTTGTGCCACGAGATGGCTTGTTATTGGGCTTGGGTCATAAGGGGGCCTGTTGATACCCAATTTTTTCATGTATTTTAAATATGCAAAATACCCTCAAAATAGCCTATATAGGCATATATAAGTACATCCCAAGATTTTATTATTTTTCCTTAATTTTTCAAAGATTTTTAAACCAATTTAAGCCTTATTTTATAAAAAAAACCCAATAATTGTCACAAAAATTATCATTTTTGGTGATTCATTTGTTGGATTCTCATATTCATACTAAAATATTGCTAATTTTTTTTTTTTACGTATTTTTACAAATTCATTTTAGTATTTTAAGGATAAAATTGCATAATTGCAATATTAGCCATTTTTAGGTTTGAATTCGTCTCATGTTTATAAAATGGAATTTTATATTTTTAAATTGATAATTATATATTATAAATCATTTTAGTGCTTTAACTTATAGCCAGATTTTGTCTTTCTAACTTAGCCTAATTAAGCCATACCCAACCCGAATTAAACTAACCCAAAGACCCAAGCCCACTCCTAAATCTACCTGACCCAACCCGGATTAAATCTTGGTCGTTGATCAATTTTGATCAACGGTCTAGATCCAACCTTACCAAATTAAACCAAACGACCCCCCAAGACCCCTCTCATTTCCTCACTCGTCTCTATCTCTCTATCTCTGGTTCTCTCTAGAACCTTCCCCTTTCCCCTCCGCTCTGATGAGTCTCACTCACCTTCTCTGGCCACCTCCTGGCCTGAATCTATGGTGGTCTCACCACCTACCGACCCTCTAGGGTTTCTACACACCTGTTTGCTGAGGTTTCATGGTCTGAACACGAAGAAGATTCATCCAGACCTGGTTCGATTCAAGTTTTATGGAGATCTCCGGCCTTGCTCCGGCAAGCCATGTCTGTTTCGAGCCTGGCTTCGACCCCTCCTACTTAGATCAACAACTATCCAAGCCTTTCTCACTGTTTGGTTTCCTCTAAAACCCTAGCTTTTGAGGTTCTTCTATTTCTTTAGATCTGTTCTAGATCCATGTTTTCCCTGAACTTTTAAACGATCTCCTGATATTTCTTTTAAAAGTTATGCTCTCAAAACCTTTAAATTTTTTCCGATTTAGGGTTTTTCTTTTTTGAGTTATTTAGATGTTTCCTTACTGTGTTCTTTATATGTTTCTTTTTGAGTTATTTAGATGTTTCCTCTACTGTATTCTTTATATGTTTCTTTTTGAGTTCTTTATATATTTCTCTACTGTGTTCTTTATATGTTTCCCTACTGTGTTCTAGTTAACTTTCTTCTAATATGCTTCTTAATATGCTTCTCCTACTGTTCTTATTAGTTTCTTCCATTAGGTTTCTTATCAGTTCTTCTACTATGCTTCTTTGAGTTCCTCTACTGGGTTTCACATGTTGATCTTTTACTATGCTTCTCATGAGTTCCTTTCTGAGAGCTCTGGACCCGTTTCGACTAGTATCTTTTCTTTGATTACTTGTCCTCTCATCTCTGCATCTCGATTGATGGTAAAACCCTAGA